CTGCATTCAGACATTAAGATAAGCCAGATTTTCTGGCTGATTGTGGCTTAACAGGAATGAGCAACATGCTGCCACAGGGCTGCCCTGTTCCAGCTTCAATTCTCCCCTGGTGGAAACAGGCTAAACAAACCAGGAAGCCTTGGCTTACCATGACATCTAAAGTAGAGATTGTGGTTCATTGCTCCCTAACAAGCCAAAATCAGAAAGCCAGCAACAAACCACGGCTGGCTTCGTGTTGGCCAGTGACCATGGCTTGTTAGGAAGTCACGAACCACAATCACTGGTTCAGATCAAGGTTTGTTTGTCCCACTTTCACCAGTGGAGTGTGAAAAGGGAGTGTTTGGGCAGCAGGTCCTAGCATGCTGCTTCTTCTTGGTACACCATGACAGGCCAGAAAGTCTGGCTTACTGTTGCCTGCAAACGCAGAACTGCATGAGGGCCTGTTTCAAACCAGAGGCTCTACATCTTCTGTGCTGGTTGCCAGGGAGTTATTTCTACTGGAGAAGGGGGAAAGTGCTTGATTTCATGCTGGAATTGCTTTTAAAGAAAACTACAATGACTGCCACCTTGGATAGAAAAGAAGGATCCAAATATTTTGATTAAAACGCATACAGCTTTGAGACTACTGCACTGGGACAGCATCTGTCAAACACCAGCATTTCATTGAGCTACACTAAAGGTAAAAGGACCCCTGACCATTAGGTCCAGTCATGGCCGACTCTGGGGTTGCGGCGCTCATCTCGCTTTATTGGCCAAGGGAGACGGCATACAGCTTCTGGGTCATGTGGCCAGAATGACTAAGCCGCTTCTGGCGAACCAGAGCAGCGCACAGAAATTCCCTTTACCTTCCCGCTGGAGTGGTACCTATTTATCTACTTGCACTTTGACGTGCTTTCGAATTGCTAGGTTGGCAGGAGCAGGGACCGAGCAACAGGAGCTCACCCCGTCGTGGGGATTTGAACCGCCAACCTTCTGATCAGCAAGTCCTAGGCTCTGTGGTTTAACCCACAGCGCCACCCGCGTCCCTAAATCCTTTTCAGAGGATTTAGCTACACTAAATCCTCTGAAAAGCAGGACCTATGAAATGCTTTAGCCAACAGAATCCTATGCATGTTTCACCCTTACATACAGGAAAGCAGGCATAGGAGTGAACCCTCAATCAGCATTTCCTTTTCAAAATCTGCAAAATCATTTTCAAGCCTCTGGTTTAAATGGCTCTCACATTGTAACAACACACAGAGTCCATCTGCACCAGGACAGCTCTGCTTAGTTGACATAACAATTCTTTTTCTTCACAATTTAAAAATGGATTTGTTGTCCTACTTCTCCAGAAAACATGTTTCCTTGCTCCTCAGCCTCCCAATACAGAACTACTGACATCTGGAAGATACCATACACATTTAACTTAAGATGCTCTCCCCACCCTATGAAAAATTAAATCCCTTGTGAATTTTTAGCTTTAGTTTCTTGGTCTTGGGTTGCATCCATCCAACCAGGCACTGCTCAGCACAAGCTCTTACATCAATGCCCTTGTGAAGTTTCAGTACTAAGTAATCATTTTCCATTTTGAAACACATTTTGCATACAATAATGTAACTGCACAAATGAAGAATACTGTGTAGGTATTCCAGTTGTCTCTGCTTTTTCTGTCGTAATTTATAGTCTCAGTAGTTCCCCAGTTTCTACCTTAGTTTGTACTTGAAAATACTGCCAGTGCCAACTGATCAGGGATTACCAGTGCCAATGTCCACATACCATACACAACTGGAGAGGGGTCAATGAGGTCACAGTGTCAGGGATGCCCACAGTATACCCCCTGCACTCACATGGTGACATCAAAACACTCCCAGTTCATCAGCCCCACTAGTATAGTCACCAATAGGTTCTGGGGTACTTCGGTATTCACACTGAGGCTGTCTTGACTGGGCTGTCTTGCGGCTTCATGGCCTTCATGACAGCCATGGGGCTGTCTCAAGTGGTCATTGGGCCAACGGGGGGAAAGCATCCCCTCAATTTATTCCATGCCTCATGTGAAGGGCAGCAGTCCTGGATATTAGGTGGAGGGGTTCAAATTACCCCACTGTCGTGGTCAGACCACTATCTGGTGAAGTTCAGGCTTGCGATTCCAGTCCCCCTGCCCTTGCTAGGGTGGTGAACCCATTAAGGTGATTTGCCCCAGAAGTTTATGGGATCCAATGGCCTCCTGAATGCTGTGGAATAATAATAAGCTTTCAAAGAGCACAGCTAAGCACAAGTCAATTCTTGACTGCTCTCATGTGCTCTCTATGGGGCTGGCCTTGGGATTGGTTTGGAAGCTGCAACCTAGCCATGCACTGTGCTGGCCAACCATTCTACCGGGCCATTTTCAGGGATTTTTTGCTGGCCTACGAAGTCATAAACCTGGGACCAGGGTACATAAACCATCACCTTTGTGCTATACAGATCTACTCACACGAGGCCTTGCTAGTGGGGCCACATTTTACAACATGTTGCTGGGCGATGGCACAGAAACAGTTCTTCTCTGTGGAACGCTCACTCTTTGGAATGTTCTGCTGCCTGCTATACAGGAGGCATCCATGGTTAAGAACACAATTTTTGCAACTAGCTTACTGGCCCATTTTAAACACTGTATCTCCCTGGTGTTGTTTATTGCTTGCTGTTGATTTTATGTGTATTATTTAATTTCATATGTTTTTAACATTTGAGTGTTAGAATTTTATTCTGTAAACTGCTTCAGGTTCCTTGAGTGGGAAATGGTGTGTAAACGATTTTCATGAATAAAAGCAACCCCACTACTGCCAGGCCTCAGGCATGCCTACTGGAAGTGTTGTGAATCCCCTTACGCCCATCACAACCACTGTTTTTGGAGAATAGCACAAGAGGGGGAGAAAGGAGAAAGGTACCCAGCAGCTCCATGGGCAGGATTCGCATGCCTGTAAAGAGCATAAAAAACCTCCTGGGACAAGGGTTCAAGCAGGGAGGGGAAGAAGGGGGAACGGCCCATTTGCCACTATTCTTTCCATAGCAACGCAGACCACGCAACCCACAATTTAAACATTAATAAGGGTTTGTAAGGCTCTGTGGGTTTTGAGCCAGGACATGCTTTTCTCCAGTGCCTTACCACGTCTGCTGAAGGAGTTGCGGGCTGTACTGTACTACCCAGTGATGCGTTTAAAGTCCCACAATCTGCGAGTGCTGTTGAAGTTGGCTATAAAAAGCTTCCCCTTAACCTTCTGTGTGGGACGCGGGTGGTGCTGTGGGTTAAACCACAGAGCCTAGGACATGCCGATCAGAAGGTCGGCGGTTCGAATCCCCATGACGGGGTGAGCTCCTGTTGCTCGGTCCCTGCTCCTGCCAACCTAGCAGTTCAAAAGCACGTCAAAAGTGCAAGTAGATAAATAGGTATCACTCCTGCAGGAAGGTAAATGGCATTTCCGTGCGCTGCTCTGGTTCGCCAGAAGCAGCTTAGTCATGCTGGCCACATGACCTGGAAGCTGTACGCTGGCTCCCTCGGCCAATAAAGCGAGATGAGCGCCGTAACCCCAGAGTCGGCCACAACTGGCCCTAATGGTCAGGGGTCCCTTTACCTTTACCTAACCTTCTGTGCCCTGATGGAAGGCAGAAGTGAATAAGCCCAGACCAGGGAGCCCATGCCATCAGTTCCTAAAAGGACCACCAGTCCTCCTGAGGGAACTATCCTATAATTTGTAACATTTACTTCTTTGTTTTTATTATTTAAACTACCTTGGCTGCTTACTCCTCTTCCTTCATCCTCTGCCTCTTGGGCCTTAGACTACACTGCTTTCCTTTACCCTCGTCTAGCTTGCTTCTACCTGGCCTTAAGATTCCAACCGTGTTACCCATTTGGGATGTTGACTCTCAACGAACCCTGGCAGGATTTACAGTAAGTGCGTCACCGACTGACCTGTACCACTTCACTTTGGCGCAGTCCTGTAATGCAGTCATGTGAGATAAGTTCTACGTCACATACAAAGTGATTTCGCAACGCATAAATGTTACAGCCCCTTTTTAAAGAAAATGATATTCAACTCCAGTTAGTTCTTTCCCCCTGTAAAACAATGCAGTGAATCAGCATGCCATTTCCCTATTCTACCCCCCTGCCCGCTACAATTTTGATGCTCAGTCCTTTGTTCAGGGCAGCTGATTTTGCAACAAGCAAAGCATTTTCCAGCTTTGTCAGTGCAATCTAACTCATCTCACACAGACAGAGGCATACGTCAGCTCCCTTGTCCCTTGGCAAGGAGCTGATCGGCACCTCCAAAACCAGGAGAGACTATGGACCAGAAACTTTAAACATTTGCTTTTTGTTGCCTTTTGTGCCATGGTCATTGGGGTCAGATCTGGTCTGCTCCTCTTCCCCTTCTCCTCCATCAGTCCATCTGCCTGCCTTCCTGCTTTCCTCCCTCCACTCGCTGCTTTTCCTTCTGCCTCCTCCCTTCCTTTTTCCTCCTCCTGCAACTCTCCATCTTTCTTCCCTCAATGGACTGCTACTCTGCTGTGCAGCCTCCCTGGGTGCTCCACTCACACTTCTACCAAATGGAGAGGGGGCCCTGGAGGGCTGCTGTGACAGCCCACACCAAGGACTGGATTCCTCCACAAAGGTGCTCAGAGGAGCCTGTGTACCTTGCCTAGGCACCCAGAGCCATGGAGTAGCAGCCCAGAGAGTGGGCAGAAGTGTGGGAAGTAGGAGTTCTAGCCACTCCAAGCCAGAGCGTAGAGCTGCGATTTTTTGTGCCCCCAGTGGACCTGCATCCTTGGCAAGCGGCAACCTGCCTAACCCCTAGGTATGCCCCTGCACACAGAAGGTAAACTACTAAGATAAAGGTTATGATCCTTTCATCAGGTACCAACTGCATGAACTCAGTCTGACAAGTAGCAAAGTTCAGCATCATAAATATTAAATCAGCAGAGCAAACATACAATCACCACCTCCAATACACAAATTGGCAAAAACGAGCAATTTAAACCTGGTTTCCTACCTCTGCACGACCTTCATAATACGCTAACATGGATTTTGTAAGCACAAATAGCCTCTCTTTGTAATTTAAAGGAGATGTCCTTTTCTTTTGTTGTGATCTTTTAATCAGAATCTCTTCCAAGATAGTGTTCATATTCATTTCAGCCACTTGATCAATCTTTCTCCAGCCATTGAAGATGCAATCCTGTTAAAAAGAATTTGAAAGCAAAGAATTATGTTGGTGTCATATTTTTCTGTATCATAGTTTGCCTTATACAGTGGTACCTCGGGTTAAGTACTTAATTCGTTCCGGAGGTCCGTTCTTAACCTGAAACTGTTCTTAACCTGAAGCACCACTTTAGATAATGGGGCCTCCTGCTGCCGCTGCACCGCCGGAGCACGATTTCTGTTCTTATCCTGAAGCAAAGTTCTTAACCTGAAGCACTATTTCTGGGTTAGCGGAGTCTATAACCTGAAGCATATGTAACCTGAAGCGTATGTAACCCGAGGTACTACTGTATTTACTGCCATGCACCTATCAGTTCACTATGCAAAATGCAGTGAAATTGCTCTTCTGACACAGTAACCCAGAAATCTAGAAAAGTTAAACATTAGGCAGAAAGGTCAACTTTTACCTTAGCAGAGGTCTGCAACGGCATGTTACCTCTAACTGGAGGCCTATACTCAGCGGGTATGACGAACAGCACATTTCAGCTGCTTTTGTGTAGAAGATGAAGTTAATATTGTAGAGAATAAAACATGAGAGCATAGACTTAATGAGCTCTATATTAAATGTGTTTTCAGGCAGAATGGAATATTGTTTCCCTGCCCCCTACCTCTGCCCCCAAATGAATACCTGCTAGCTTCCTGCTGGAGGTCACGGCAGGAAAGGGATTGCACAAAACTGTCTTATTTGTTGGGATTCATTTTTGTGTGTGTGTGAGAGAGGAGATTTGGAAAGTCATATTGTTCATCTCTAATCTGGATACAGTCCACTCTATTACCTCAGCATTCCAGCATCTCATTCCGCAGCATATGTAGAGCCAGCCAGCATTAGCTTCCTTTAAAAGAGAAACTGACAGAAGATAGATGGTGGTGTATGTCTGAGTGTCTCGCCCTTGTATGCAGCCCACACACAAGTCTGCTTGGTGATTTCAGGTTTTTTTAATGCTTTCAGAAACTACTTTCTTTAAAAGAAGACATGCTGTTACACAGTACCAATCTTCCCTAGTTTGTATGGTTTAAATAAATTTTATATATTTATATAGTTTTAATTCTATCAACTTTTGGGTGCGGGATATGTCCTACAGGCTATAAGTGCCTATACTATATTCCATTACATCTATGATACATTTATAATATTTTGCTAAAGTATATGGTCTGCAATATTTGCCTCCTCAGGTAGAAATGCTTAGAGCTGTAGAACATAGGGGGAAATAGTTAAACAAGGCGAGGAACTGATCATCACCTTCCTTAAAAGAACAGCTTAAATGAAGGTGTCGTCCCCCCCGCACACATGCACACAGTTAAAACAAAAATCTCAGGTTCATCTACATGTAATAAAAGGTGTAGGATTCAACTAAGTTTTAATCAGAGTATACGCATTGGGGGTAAATGGACCTAACTTAAGTCATGTTTGTTAATTTCAATGGATCTACTCTGAGGAAAATTTAGTTGAACACCACCCAAACGAAACAAAAAATTCTTTTCCAAATATAGCATTTGCCTATGGAACTTATTTCCACATGACCGTAAGATGGCTGATTATTCATAACCTTAAAAGGTTATGATTATACTTGGATAGCTTTATCAGCAATGGTTTGCCATGACGATCAAACCCACAATATATCCAGAAGCACTTCTCCTCTAACCACCATACTTCACACTTTGACGATAGGAAATGGACATCAATCTCATGACCTATGTATGAAACCACCTGAGCATCCTGTCTGGCAACTGTTAAAGTGCAAAATACTGAGGTAATGGGTAAGTAATTCAGCTTGGCATTCAAATTCTTCTATCAAATCAGTGCCACAACTTCCATTGCAACTTTTGATGTCAAAAGAGCTGAACATTTACAACATTTTTACTTCTTAGATTACCCAGTGCAGCTAAACTTACCTGCATAGACCAGTCTTAATATTTCTGCTTTTAGTGTAGCTCCCTGCTGAAAAGCTCTCCTCACACAGCAGCAGTACGTTTTAATAACATCCTATAGAAACTGAGAGGCAAATGGCTCATCTCATTTGCAATAGCTGTGGGAGTTTCAGAGTGTGACCCGCCCCGAATTTCCTTAATTCCCAGCTCCACCAGCCCTTGCTTGGCCAGTCTGACTAGATGAGATACTAAGGACTGACAACCACAACTAGAGACGTCAGAGAGAGTTTCAGATGTTCAGCTTCTCTGGCTGTTGGAATATTTATGCCTCTTAACTTTCATTTTGTTTGTAAAAGCAACATAGTATGAACACGTATCTGGTGCAAGTTCCATAGGTGAAAATGTAATAGTGAAGCATCAGTTATACACATAAATACATTTGGGTGTGCCAATGTGTGTATCAAAATACAACAGAAAGAAAACTGAAAGGTGGTATGCATGCAGCCCAAGATATTCTGAATACAGTCATACCTTGGTTTTCAAAGAGCCTAGTTCTCGAATGTTTTGGCTCCCAAATGATCAAACCCAGGAAGTGACTGTTCCAGTTTTCGAAAGTTCTTTTGGAAGCCGAACATCCGACGGGACTTCTGCAGCTTCTGATTGGCTGTAGGAGCTTCCTGCAGCCAATGAGAAGCCGCGCTTTGGTTTTCGAACATTTTGGAAGTCGAACAGACTTCTGGAATGGATTCCATTCCACTTCCAAGGTACAACCGTATTGAACATCCTCATAATGGTTCATCTGGGCTTAGTGAGGTGTGCACTTCATACTTAACAGTAATCATCAGGCTACTTGAACACTTGGAAAAACAACAGCAGCCGCCTTGCATCAAGAGAAAGGGCCAGCAAGTAACACAGATCTTGCCAAATGTAAATAAGTTGGATTTACTAGTGATTTATATAGGGTTGTGTCCAGAGGTCAATTTAGGGCAGCGTGACTGGTTTCACCACACTGGGTGCTGAGCCTAGGGGGCGCTGTAGAGTGTTGAAACTATGTCATAGTGAACTGAGCAGAATGGAAAGCGAGAGGTGAGGAGAACTGAATTTTCGCCTCTCACAGGGCCCGCTAACATTTCAAAAACCAAAGTCTGCCCCTACTGTATCCAATGAAGTCATTCCTTCTTTGCAAGGACTTCCACTTGTCTAATGGAACTTACCCTTCCTTCCTTCCTTCCTTCCTTCCTTCCTTCCTTCCTTCCTTCCTTCCTTCCTTTCCTTCCCCCCTCCCCAAAAAATCTGCTCTGGAAGGTAGGGGAAAACCCCAGAACAGATCTGGAGGCATGTGGAAGAGGGGCGAGAGGGAGGGGAAGTTTTGTTGCAGAAGTCCATGTGCGAACAGAGTGACTTCAATGGATACAACCCACAGTCTCTCAAAATGAGATAATACTACTGCGCTCCCTCCTACCCCTTCCTTTCATTAACCTTATAGTAATATAAAAGTAAGTTATGCGTACATGAACCTAAAGATTCTCATCTGTACATCTAAAAGCCTCAAAAATAATCTTAGGACACTCATTTTCCACACAGGAAATTTTAACACTGGGCTGCTGAATAATCTGAGCTGCACAGGATGAGTCAATGGCAAAATCAGTTCAGGTCCTTAAAACATGGTCTTTTTGTCTCTCACTTACAGCAATCTATGAACTGCGGCGAAAGAAATGATAAGAAAAATCAAACAGACTCGCTTGTGAACACGGAAGAAGAACTTTACAATTCATGTACCAATTAATACACAGAAATCAGCCCAGCTCAGCATCAAATTCAGTGTCTTTCCGCAGCTACAACCACTATCAAACAAACAGGCAAAGGCACCTTTGCTCACTTGCAATCAGGTTTAATCTTGAAGTTGCAAACAGAGGACTCTGGACCAGATCTGACCCACGTAAAGACATTAGATAGCAAAATCTCAGTCACCATCATAAAGTAGCAGAACTCCACCACCTTTGCGCCCTTTTCAAAGTGGCACTTAAGGAAAAATTGCTGATCACAGGTTTAATTAGACTGACTTGAAGGATGCAGCCATTGCAAGTTAGAAATGATTAGGCTTATTGTAAAGTTGAGGAAGGGATGATGATAGCTGGAGTAGCTCAGTCGGTAGAGCATGAGACACTTAATCTCAGGGTTGTGGGTTCAAGACCCACCTTGGGCAAAAAGTTCCGGCATTGTAGGAGGTTAGATTAGATGACCCCTGTGGTTTCTTCCCAACTCTACAATTCCGTGATTCTATGAAGATGTCTGTAATCACGGTTCAAGCATATATTTAATTCTTAATGTAAATCTTGTATATCTGTAGGGATAAGAACACAGACAACTATAGAAATATATTCTATATATTCTGGAGGTCTTTAAGCAGAGGCTTGACAACCATATGTCAGGAGTGCTCGGATGGTGTTTCCTGCTTGGCAGGGGGTTGGACTCGATGGCCCTTGTGGTCTCTTCCAACTCTATGATTCTATGATTCAGTGGTACCTCGGGTTACATACACTTCAGGTTACACACTCCACTAACCCAGAAATAGTGCTTCAGGTTAAGAACTTTGCTCCAGGATAAGAACAGAAATCGGGCTCCGGCAGCGCGGCGGCAGCAGGAGGCCCCATTAGCTAAAGTGGTGCTTCAGGTCAAGAACAGTTTCAGGTTAAGTACGGACCTCCGGAACGAATTAAGTACTTAACCCGAGGTACCACTGTAAACGGTACACTGTTATAAGATTAGTCCTACAGAAAACAATGTTTCTCTTTCTCCTCAAGAAGACGTTAAATGCAAAATGACTCTTTGTGGTGTCCGAAACGGGGGGAAATGCCTAAAATCAATACATCCCCTTCCAAGAGGTTCATTTATACTGCAAACAAGCCAGCTGAAGGAAGCCAAAACAGATGAAGCAGCTAGTGCAAAGCAGTGGGTCTGCCATGTCAAATCCTGCTTGATCTTCAGCAAGAATAGCTTCCCCAGTTATCCAATCAAGTAGGTCACTGTAAAGATACTTTGCATATAATTTGCTAATTACAGGTAGCAAGCTAATTCGTCTATATAACTAGCCCTTTTGTGGCCCAA